AGAAATTATAGTATTTATGTATCGAGCTGTGTGAGACAAATCCCCTCAAGCGCTAAGGCAAAAATAAAATTCATAGGAAAGAACTGAATAACTGTTTCAAGGAGAAAAAGTAGTAATATAGTAATATAACTGAGAAAGAGTATGGAGAAAAATATTTAGCTGAATTAACTGGAATTCTTAAATCTAAGTAGATTTAACTAGAATTCTGGATCGTTTGTCTTCCACCAGAATTTCAGTTAATTTAACCAAATTTTTCTCCATGAGAGAAAAAGGAATAGATATATTGAAAAAAAGTCTAGTAACAGTCATTAAATATTGTATGAAATAACGCCAATCAAATTTAGGTTAAAATATATATGACCAAAAATAATTTTTATTTTCTTAAATACTTAGTAAGTATCTATTATATATTATTATGTTTGATAGTATTTACTATAAGTGCATTGAAGTAAAATTGTTTTTAGTTATTTGATAGCTATTATTAGATTCTTCTTCTCATTGCCAATATAAATAAACAGACGGAATTATTTATACAGTGAGAGAGGGAGAGACAGTGAGCGATTCGCGAATTATACGGGATAGACTTAGTTTAATTTATCATTTACACATTGTCTAACGTGCCTTAACATAATCGTCGCGTGCCGCCCGCCCTTATTTCCAGCACACGCGCGTAATTATATGGAAATCGATATAACGTTCAACAACGAGTTTGCTGCATACCTTCTCAAGGAAATGGAAATAGTTGACTAACCAATGAATATTACTTCGCCCAATTTGCGAAATACCACAACTAACAATGAACGACGTTCTTGATCTGTCTCTGAGAAAAACTAATTGATTAGAAAAATCTTTCAATTGATTTTCTTTCAGATAGCTTCGATGATTGAACAATAATGAATATGTACGAATACACAAATGTTTTTCGGATTTATGTTTTCAACATTTAAACTTGTATTGTAACGTAAATATAATAGAAATGCAGGGAATGGATCAAATAATGCGAGTATATAGAAAAGAAAACATTTGTTGTATTAATAAAGGCTTGGTACACTATTTGTTCTTAATACAGATTCTATTGTTGAATTAGAATCATACAATGCTTAAGTAATCACCAAAGGAATGTTGTACTATTCTACTTGTAGCAAAACGCCTTTCAATTGCTTATGTAAGTGATATTGGAAGAGAAAATTTACTTCTCACTTTATTTTCAATAAAAATTGTTCAATAAAAATTCTCTATTCTTCAAAACTTATCTAATATCTTTCCAATCTCAATTTCTTTCAATACCTGGCCAGCGGAATCGCCTGATTTAAATATTATCGGATTATTGCGAGTAGTTTTGAAGAGCAGAATGAGAAATAGATTTTCTCCTGCAATATCTCTGCAATTGGAAGACGTTCTGCTAGAAGTACGGGGTACAACAATTTATACTTAACCATAGAAGAGTTATTTGATATCGATTTTTATATCGTAGCGGCAGCGAGAAAACACAAATTATTGTAAAATATTATTTATGAATATCATTTAACACATTTTTTTACGAATTCTCAAATATGCAACAATTCCATCGAAAATTACTCAATAAAAAATATTATACGGATATTAATTAAATATTTAGTTTTTAGAAATACTATCACAAATAAGCTACATGAAGTGGTTATTTCGTTTAATATTTATTTGGTTCCTCTTGTGCTTTTCAGAAAATTGTAATTAAATCCATATCCATAATCTTTTCAAGTATTTTCAATAAACTGAAAAAAGATCACAATAGTAATGATTTTAATTGAGCTTGATTGAATTAATAATGAAACAATTAATATATGTTTACATTATTTTGCTGTCTAAATTTCTTGGGGTGAAATATCACTCCAAAGAGTTATGATACTGCCACTATTGGAAAAATAGTGAAAAATCTTGAATAAGAGTGACAGATTTTCACTCTTTTTTGGAGTGCAATGATACATTCCAAAAGATGTCTTTCCTTTGAATAAATAAATATCACTCAAGAAAAAAATTGAAAATCTGTCATTCTTATTAAAAAATGCAAAATTTTCCCATTTTGTTCAATAATGACAATATTTTAATCCTTTTGGAGTGAGATTTCATTCCAAAGAAATTTAAAGAGTATCCATCTCTTGTATCTATTTAATTTCATTAAAGCATAATTTGCGCGATCGCAAGTAACGACGGAATTGTACGTACGTACAGAAAAAACACAGAAAACAAATGCGGGGTGGACGCGAAATGTTTTGAAAAGCAAATGCTTGCCTACGCGAGCGCGAGTACAATGTAGTGGATGCATAAGAATGGAGACTTGGAGTTTTGCTTGAATAACGATAAACATCGCGTCACAAACAAAAATAGAGCACGAAAAGCCTACCCCGCTTTGTGTATCGTCGCCTATTTTTAGACGGTCGCCGCACGGAAACTACTAAAATAAATAAGCCGTTCCTTCGGAAGTTTCCCTTAATATTCGACGAATCTTGTTTTTCCCACACCCGATATCGGTAGCCCGCGATAAAATGTAAAATGCGCGCGAGCGAACGCCACTTATACGTCCGGAATATGTTGAAACGCGTATGAGCATCTGTACGCGAGAGAAATATATAAACGCGTAAACGAGGGATCTCTGAAAACACGACGGAAGCCGTGTAGTTGTTCGTTCCCTACATTATGCGGATTTTCAAAAAGCAATTTGCTCCACCAGAAGCTTAATTATCCCGTCTATTTTCGATTTAAGCAGCGTAAACGCGGCGATGTGATTTCGCAGAGAAATAACGTCGTGTTTTTTATGATTCAAAAAGCGCAACTCGAAGCCGGTTTCGTAATTTCGTAATTAGCAACCATACAGCCGCTGAGAATAATCGGACTACGCTTTGATTAATAAAAAGCTTTTTACGAAAAAAAACAAAGAAAGAGAGAGAGAGAGAGAGACAGAGTTAAGGTAGAATTTAATAAACTCGTTGAAATTCGCGTGTGTCATCTTCAAAGGAAATAACTCCCGCACTAATTAGGGGCACGACGAAAAAAAGGGGAGGGGAGCAAAAGCGAAAATCATTTAAGCAATATGACGAGTCAGAGTTCAAGATAAAAGTGATATCTCACGAGCTATCTGTAGCGGGGTCAAATGTGCCTCCATCAAAGTAATTGAGGGTTAACAGAATTGATTTCGGACGAAATGATACTGGAGGCGGTACATAAGTATTAATAGAGGCTGTGAATCGAAACGCTCTTCGGAAGTCTTTAATAATCGTTCCCCGTTTAAACGATTAAAAGTCGTTTGCAGTTTAATCAATTATTTGTTATGTGATTGAATGCAATTAATAATAAATGTATACGCATCGTGACGTTGCAATAAAAATATACAACCGTTATTCTCTGTAAATTATAATAAGTCAAATCCTATACGTTGAATCCTATTACGTATAATTTTAGAACTGACTATGAGAGGAAAGTTTATTTCGACGCCGCGGATTATTATATCGCACTTTCGAAAAGTGCTACAAGTAAAAAGTATGAAATTGTTCAGGAGAGAGAGAGAGGAAAGAATTAATTATTTACAGTACAAGTTAACTAGAGCTAATTACAAATTGCTTGTTTCAAGTTTTAAAGGGATACTAAAAAGTCATCTGTTTTATCTATTCTTTTTCAAAAATAAGTGTTTTTCTAAATATTTTAATGCCTTTAAATACAAATTAAAAAATCTTTTTTCACATTCCACAATTATTATCAACGGTAATGTAGTTGAACCCAACGACTATGAAGTTTTATATGAATAAAAAATGAAAAAGAAAGTGGTTTGATAACAATATTTGTCTTCAAGTTTTATACTTTGTCCATATAAAACAATTTTGATTTGGACTATGAACAATGTTAAGTCTTTAGAGTTAAGCTTAGACATAACTATAATATTATAATATGAAAGATTAATTAAAGTTTGTACTGCTGTATTAATTAAAATTTGTAAATTGTATGTGTGTAGGTCCTACTGAATCGGACACAGACGACTTTAGAATCCTCTCTAAAGTAATGTAACAAATATGATAACAATATTTGTCACGATATTACATTAATTTCTAAAAACAGTAAAAACTATTTCTATTTTCCATTTGAAATTAACTTCCTGATAATTGAGGACCAATATATTTTTAGAACACAATTCGCACGAAAATAAAAACAATTCGAAAAGTGTCGACTTCTGTCACTTTTCAAGCGATATATTTATTGCGCAACCGAGAGACGTAAATTACTATCCCCCGATCATACTTCCCGCTTAATGCTACACAAATCTTATCTCCCCTGTTTTATCTAAAACGCAAATGTTTGACCATACACACACGCGAGTGTATGAGTTAATCTACCATTCTAAATAAATAGTCTATAATCAAAGAGAGAGAGAGAGAGAGAGAGAGAGAGAGAGAGAGAGAGAGAGAGAGAGGTATCGACGCGTTTTTCTCATTGCGTCGCGTCGATTCTCTCGAATTTTCAAGTACAACCTAGCAACAGGGAACGACGAGAATCGTCCGTATTTTCCCTCGACGACTTTAATCGTAATGCTTGACGCAGTCAAGTGCGTTCTCGTTACGCGCGAACTCGATTTGCGCGGATTCAGTGGAACGCGCGATCGACGAAACAACGGGAGGGAGGGTGCGTAAATCAATTTATGCGAATAGGATTCGCCGTCGCGTCGCGACGCTCGCGGTTCAGGGTGAGAGAAATAGAATCCGTGCGGGAAAATCGGGGATTTCATTTCAACGATGCAAGGATGTTATTTGAGGGGTAGGGGGCACGTAACGCACGTCCTGGGGGGCGATTCACGCTTACAACACTCTTGGAATCTCGTTTCATTACACGCGATAGAGAAGCTTGCAGCAGTAATGTTATCTCAACATTGCTCCGACATAAAACTATAATCGCTATATTCTACTGTTATGTACGTATTGAATGAGTTATATAGGACGGAGGTAAGGGTAGAAAAGGTAGAAACTGAAATGACGTACCTTGGACCGTGATGCCGAACGCCGCTAGCAGGAGCAACCGATCGATCAATCCGCGGCACATCTTCATTAATATATCCGAGGGCTGCCCCCGTCGCGTCGTACCCTTTTTCTTCTCCGTCCTGCTGTCTCCGCACGCGATCGCACGTTGAAACACAAGCGAACTGAAGATAGGGAGAGAAGGCACCCAGATCAACACTCGCGCGTCATCGGGCCCGACGATCCTCGTTTAACGACGGTTGTTGATCTCCTCGCTGACGGACGGACGGACGTTTCTTTTATCTCGTCGCACCACACACTCCGCGAATTAATACAATTTGGCGCCGCGTTCACGCGCGGCCGCGCGCGCGCACCCGCACGCACGCACGCACGCACGCACGCACGCACACACACACGCCGATATGGAATCACTTGCTTACTTGAACCGACTCGCCCGTCGCGGCCGGTCCGCGGCCGCGTCTGCCATTGCACGGGGACGAGAGCGGCGGCGAATATCCATACCTCTCCTCGATACTTATATATCCGTTAAGCTGACAATCGGGGGTTAGAGCGGGCAATTCTTTCGCAGAATGAGAGCGAGAGCTGCCTCACGGGTTGATCGATGCGCGCACCGCGCCGCTGACAACGCCGTCGTTACGACGGCGAGTGTCCATTCTACGGGAGCGACGAACGCCGAACGTATAGGGGGAGAATAATCCGACTCCGAGTCGCGACGCGGCGGCGGCGGCGTCAACAGTCGCGCGCGCGCCGCTACTCCGGCTGATGATCCATCTCGCGCGATCCACGATCGAAGTGTGCGACACGGTGGGGGAGCAGCAGAGCGATCGATGTTTATCGAAACGAACAACTACCGTTACTCTCCTCTCTCGCGTTGAATCCCGCGGGGGACGCTCATTGCCCGACTCAAGAGTGTCACTCCGTTTTTTCAAGACAGCGATGCACCACGGACGCGATTCGTCATCGGCCGAACCGGTCGTCGCTCTCGCGAACGAAAACAGATAGACGCGACGCGACGGCGGGGAATACGAACGAACGACACACCACTGACGCGAAAGCCGATCCGCGACTGACCGGCGGGGTACGCAAGCGCCCGCATATTTAGCGCGCCGTTCAGCGCCACCTGCGTGACTGGGGAGAACTAAACCCATGCCACGTACAGGGTGACCCATGTCAAATTTTACCAGCTCTTTTCCTTTGGCTGGGAAGACTTCCAAAAACGACGCTCGCGACAACGTCCAAGTGTAATTAAAATAAATCATGACTGATCGAAAAGAGTGTGACTTTTTATTTTTAAAGGGTAAGAATTGTTATCATTTATATGGTATTTTCCATTAGATATAGTGACTTTTTCGTTTTGTAAAGATTAACAGTAACTTCGATGTTATCTTTATCAGGGCTAGATGGGGGACATGTATTTAAAATACTTTTATTTAAAAAACAGTATTTGCAAATAATTATATTTTGTATTTTATATTTCAGTGGAACACACTTGAAAATATTTTGTATTTCATGGAAGTATATCATAGTATTTTATATTTAGTATTTCAGTGTTATAATAACGAAAGGTTAAAAATATTTTGTTTTTCGATCAATCTCAATATTTAAATTACAAAATACAAAAAACTTTTAATTTTTTATTTTGAATACAAAATACACTTGTTTCATAAAAACTGTATTTTAATTTATAAATATTCTAAATAGTAGTTGTCATTTTGATGCCATTTGGACTATTACAGATAACGATAGAAATCTTTTTTGGTCGTATAATCCATTAAGGTTTGACTTTTAAAAAAAAATGGGACATATATCGTTTGGTTATTTTTGAAGATTTAGAAGATCGATGAAAATAAAAAAATCAGGTCACAATAATTGATGGTTTGAAATAGCGGATCTAATATAACGGATCTAAGAAATAAAATTTTATCAAAAGATTGTAATGAAATTATTTATTATGGGTGTATCTAGTTTTAAAAGGAAAACTATTTAAACCGAGTATAAAATTAAATATGAAATGCTATGTAAAAATAAAGAATTGTAAACATTTTACAGTATGTTATCTACTAAATAATATTATAATATTTTATCAATAGAGAATTGGATACTCATTAGCAACAGACATACATATACTTATTGGTAAAAGCTTTAAAAATAATTCTCAACAATATTGCGTAATAAACAGTTTTCTTTAAAACAAGTTCTAATTGAATTGAATAACTTAATACTTATTAAAATTATAATTTTTTTAAGACAATAGTATATATATATATATATCTATATACCATTAGACCTTAAAGGATTCAGATTCATCGACTATCTCGGAATGAATGGAGCTCTGCCGTTGTACTTCGAAAAATAAAAAGTAAACTCTTTTCTTTTAAGTTGAAAGTACTTTTTTCGAAGGTAAATCGAGTTTTCCCAGTCTGCATGTAAATTATTAGACGAAGATAGTCGAAAAGAAGATATTTTACGAGATAAAAAAGAAAATTTACATTGGCTAATGTAGAGTGGACTGACTCCGTATTATAGTTAATGTAAGTTTTCTTTTTTATTGAATTATATATAAAGAATCCATTATTTACTCATTGTATTGATATTTTATGAGATTTTATATTTTATTTCAACACTTTTTCTAACAAAAAAATATATAATGTCTCGTAAAATATACAATATAGATTAACAAAACAAATCTGTTTCTTACACGTTTCGAAAATAGCTCTGGCAATTAAATTCAAACAAGAATCTGCGATAATACGGGATGCCAGGCTTCATATTTTTAGAAGAAGAAATAACAATATTTTATTCAATCTCAATTTGAACGATAATACTTCTTCAACATACTCTTAAGCGCTACCCAGAATCTCCAAGAAAAAATCCCATTTGATGTTATTGCCTAATCTATTATTAAAAAGATAAAGCTCTACGTGTGAAACTTTATTGACATTTTGCGCTCCCTCCGTTTGATGAAAATTTCAATGATGTGATGCTAGGAAGTAGACACAGAGATAACCGCGTTCCACGAATTGAGATGAGTGGGAAAGGAGGATGTCAGATCCGCGAGCTTGCAAATAAATCACTGTTCCATAATCGATAGTCGTCAGACTTATTATCGGGATGATAAGTTGAATGACGAATTTGTCTCACATCGACAATCACTGATGATACACACGTTCATGCGTGCATTCCGTGATGGTGTGCATTCGAAGGCATAATTCGAGAATTCGATTTTACTGCTGTCTTCTTCACTCGGGACATCCTGGACTCGCCGCGAACAGATTTCCCCGTGAGCGCCACGCGGCTCTTCGGTTGCACTCGGTTATCTTCGGCTTCGCTTCCCCTGCGATCGCGGCAACTTCTCGAGGAGAGCGGAATTCAGGATCGTGCTTAGACACGCGCGAATCCCTGCCGAACAGATATGATCCACACAGACTTAAGCCCGTGTCACACTAGAGATCGAGAAATTAAATTGCAAATTAAAGATTAGAATTCAGCCCAATCTCAGAACAAAATGAATTAAAATTATCTCATTGGTTGAATTCTAAATCTTTAAGAGGCAATCCTCAGTCTTTAATACATAATGTAAACTTTAGGTACATAATATTGATATATTATAAATAATATTTATATTTAATATATATATTTCATCTATAAAATTCATTTTAAATTTCTTTTTTAATATCGCATTCTGAATATGTTAGAAAACAAAAGAATTGTATCATTTCAATATGGCAAAATAAGGTTGTAGTAAGAAACGGTCCTTTTTTAAGAAGATTTCCCAGTATTCTTAGCATTCTTTAATTTTTCTTTATTTAACGTTATTACAATGTAGTATAACATTATATTATTATAATAAAAGTGTAAGAGAGAGTAGATCTCGCTTCTCTCTAACAAGTAGTTTAATTAGTTTTCCTAATCGGATATTCTCGCGGGAACTATCCAACTTCGTCAATGGATAGGCCGCTCGTGATCGGAATATACAATAATAATTTAAATTCAGGATTTAAAAATATTAGATTAGATACGCGATAGAAATCAAATAAACAGTGATCATTGTTAAGCAGACTACTATTATTTAGATGCACACGTTGACTTATTTACATTTTGGGCATGCAGTTGATAGATCACAAAATATTTTTAAGAATCCCATAAAATCACCGTTATGCTTCTGATATTAGGTAAACGTCAAACTTATTACACAAATACATAAATTCGAAATCTGAGCACTACAATTATTTTCGAACTTTCGTTGTAAAGCACATTCTACAATTGCGTAGTTGTAAGTGATTGTAAGAATTGACCAATTATAATCAAATACGAGGAGAATTCGACTCCAATTGTTAGTATGATACGTGCATTACATTTTACGTATAGAGTGCAACTGTATTATTCGGTTTCATTGCAATTATACTGATTTATCGAAGTTTCCTGATCACGACGGTCTCCTATTTGGCATGAGCACATAATAGGCAAAGTATTGACCACAATTTTGATTGTATATTATATTATATTGTTTATGTTTATGAAAAATAATTAAGGCTTTTGTTCATTTACCGCCATCTCATATTATGATGTCACAGGAAACATACAATAAAAAATAAAAGTAAAACATACAATAAAGAATCTTGCAAATTATATTTAAATAAAAATATTTTTTTAAACAATATATTTACGGTCGAGAAAATAGATTTATAAAATATATACTAAGAAGTAAAAATTATCTTTCTATTTCACATAAAAATTAAATATCACATTTATTTTTAATTTCTACATATTATTCGTTTGATAGTGTGAACATAGTTTATCGGTTTTGTTACATACAATTCTTTTTGAGATATATATGTATATTTTGTTATTTATTCATTAATAAAAAGAAACAAAAATCCGGATAGACAAAATGCGAAAACATTGCACGTAATAGCATAATAAACCAACAACAGTATTGCAATAATTGTGCTGATAAGATGACTTACCATGATAACAGTTTTGCCAGAATAAAATTTCTAAATGATTTTGTTCAAAATTGAATAAGTCTAAGTGAGGCGTTAATAGTTTTTAATTCACTTTCTTTCGAGA